GAGTTCTGCTTTTGAGATTTTATTATAAAAGACATAATTGCCCATGAAATTTATGTACATGTAATTAATTTATATATATATAATTTTTTTATTTTACAAATTTAAATTAACATAAATTTATATATATGACTATCTTAAATTTTTTTTTTAGCTTATTGAAGGAAGCAAGCTACAGGATATGCCACAGTACCCAGAAGAAGGAAATAGACTAGGCCGACAGTGCTCAGACGGGGTTAGGAATGCTTGACTGAACATATGAGCAACAGTTTGTTTTGTGGTTGTCGTCGTCGGCATGGAAAAATGGATCGGGATTGACCTGTAGCAGGCGAAGTAAAGCTAAAGTGGGAGTCTTCCGGATGGAGCAAGATCAGAAGAAATGAAGTAGTGCGGCTTGCTGAAGAAGACAAAGTCGCGAACGTGGGGTTGGGCGTGCGAACGTGACAGGTTAATTTGGACATTTGCAAACCGAAACTCCGATTCAACAAGTAATAAGCAGGTATATAAAGGATTTTGTAACTGCTCAAAAAATGTTGTATTGTGAAAATGAATTATGGATAAGTTGTGTTTCCAAACAACTAAAAATTATGAATAACCGCTTATTCAACCTCAAACTGAGAAAATAAACCTAATCAAACGAAGCCATAGTTGCTGATGATCGTGGATCAAAGAAGAGACGCACAAGAAGAATCCTTTCCATCACACATTTCTAGCACAAATCAAAATCATGATTGAGTTTTTGAAGATCAAAGCAGCTAAAAAGATTATAAAACAATACAACATGTAGATTAATCATGCTGCATAAGAATAGCTTGAAAGTGGGTTGGGAAACTGCATCAGAGACCAGTGGCATCCTCAATACAAAACAAAAACTTCTGCAATAAAGAATTAAGCTTTGCATTAGCTTTTAATCTAGCATACTTCACATAGGTAGCAACTGTTAATTAATATCTATAATTTCACTAAGCGAACTTACAAATAACTTAGCTTTTGACTGGTGTATCATAATAGATGATTTTTCAAGTGTAATATGTGTTGGAATCAGGATTTAAAGACGGCAAAATTTTTTAAAAATAGTTAAAACTTAAAAAGGCAAATAGGGGTGCACTATAGATGCCACGAAGGGGTTTTAGGCAGAATATGAGAGTGGTGAGTGCACTGCAATGGAATGATCCAGGGATTGTAGTTTGTTTGGTACTTTATTATAGCCAGTAAATATTGCACTGCAATGGAATGATCCACAAATATTTGATTTTCAGTGCAACTATAACTATATTATAACAACCTCAGAATTACTAACTTATTTTGATGCTTGCTAAGCATGTTATGAGTTTCCTGAATACATGCATAAATTGCATATTGATATTAAAAAACATATTGTTTCATAGACTAAACACTACTACAAGTTGGCAGCCAATGCTCACAGAAATTTTTATGAATTTCACCAAAGGGATTATGTTTTGATCAGTATTTTTAAAACGATAAACATAATACGTTTCACCAAGTGTACGTTATGCAATGAATGCACAAAGCAGAAAGTGAAGCGACGCTTTTGCTAATTAGAGTGTTCATGACTTGCATATGATATATGCATATATTATGTGCATATGATGAATTTTTAGTTGGCTAGAGTTAAACCCCATCTTGTAATATTTTTCAACAAAAATAATGATATGTTCAATAAAAGTAATTTTTTAGTTATCAAAAAGCCAAAAAAATAAATAAATTTAAATAATAAAGTAATGAAAAAATGATCGTGAAATTGACAAAACTAAAAACCAAGTGGCAAAGACGACATGAATTGTGAGAGTGAAGATGAGACCTCAAGAAGTATTATCAAGAAGAAGTTTGTGAAAGAGAAGCTAATAACATCAATAACAAGAAAAAATGAAAAGCATGTATGAAAATGAATGAGCGAGAAAGCATGATAAGAACTATCAATAAGTGGCTAGCTCCAGATAGAGTGAATAAAGCAATAATAAGCAATTACTCTATCATTTTTTGAAAAAAATGAGAGCTAAAATTCGTAACTAGTTATTGTGGTAGGTGTTGAACCAAATCGCGAAATATGAATTAGAATTTTGTTTCGAGCCTGAGCCAAGCACACATCGCTACAAGATAACATGGTGAAGCAACACGTTACGCATACTTTGATACAAGCTTGTGCTTCACAGGCAAGCTATGTGAAGACCACCGCATAACTTTGCTTCACTCTTAAAGAGCGCTTTTAATAACACTAGTTTTGGCTTGTATTTGCTTGGAACGTTTCCGGGTCGATTTGTTCAAGAAAATTCATTAATCTTCCAACCTTGCAGAATCGTCAAGAAACAAATATCCAATGCTCTTTTAGTTGATTTACCATAAGAGTATTACATAAGTCTTCTTGAAATATCAATGATTTAATACCCCTTTAGAGGCAATTTTGACCCTCCCGTATTGCTTACTAATGTTGTTGTCGATGGAGTTTCCTATGCAACCAACTTCTATTAATTCTATCTTGACTCTTGGCACTTTTACAAGAACAGTGGAATAGATCATTAATGATGAGATCATTCTTATCTCTTCAGGATACCACCGCTTGTTCTATGAAAAATCTCCAAACAATTGACAATATCCAATTGTGATGCGTCTCCTGTATTATGTTGAAAAACTATCTTGTCGTGCACTCTCCAAAGGAGAGCTTTTACCCGAAGACGTAGCGATCTAGAAACATAAAGTACAAATAATCAATATCTCAGATGTCACTAGCATCCCCCGATCATTTTATTTTATTCTGTAATAACAATGTTCCTTATTTTAATGAATTCTTTCAATATTATGCTTCTTGTTATACAACAACAACAACATCAAGCCTTTATCCCACTACATGGGGTTGGCTACATGAATCTTTTTTCTCCATTATGTCCTATTAAAAGTCAAATTCTCGTTTAAATATAATAAAGAAAGATTATTTTAATATTTTCTAACCAAGTCTTTTTAGGTATGCATCTACCTTTCTTAACATAAGTCAAATCTAATACCTCTACTTTCCTAACCGGGTCATCAGAAGTCCGCCGTTTTATGTGACCAAACCATCTAAGGTGACTCTCTCTAATCTTTTCTATTTGAGCTACTCCAACCTTTTCACGTATATGCTCATTTTGTATCCTATCTCTAAGGGTAAAGCAACTCATCCACCTCAGCATCCTCATCTCTGCCACACTTAACTTAGTATTATGCTTCTCTTTTAATGGCCAACATTCGACACCATAAAGCATTGCAGGCCTCACCACCATCTTATA